AAATTGCAAAAATAAATGAAATAGGAAATGGAGCTCAGAGAAATGGACTTGATCTGGGGTGACCTTGGCCTGCAGCAGCTTGCAGCAAGGTTTGGTTTCCCTAGCCAGAGATTAAAGTCAGGCCCCAGCAGTGAGAGTACTGAATCCTAGCCATTAGACCACCAGGGCCAGTGGCTGGTGATAAGGTGCCTGGCCCATTGGCTTTGTAGAAATAATTTTCCACAAGTAAAGTGGTTATTAGGAGAAAAAAGAGTAGGTGTGGATAGACACACACGGGTGGGCTCAGAGTCACGCCCTTATGGTAGTTTGAATTACTTACGTGGGGCATTTCTTCCAGGTTTCCTCTGGCCAATCATCTTGCTTTCCGTGGTTCTGAGGCTGCATTTGGTATATCTCAGGATCCTCCCATGCATGCACACATCTCTTAGCCAAGTTGGATTCCAGCTAAGAGGCCCCCAGGAAGGTTGACATCACTACCCATAGGGAGAGTGCCAACTCCCTCTGTTTTTGACCCCCAAGGAGCCTTCCTGTGCATGTGCAATCGAGAAGGTCTCCTTGACCTCGAGGATGAGAAATATGTGGTCTTTATCTCTTATCTGGACAGAGCTCTTGCCAATGCCATTACTGTTCCTCTTAATTATCTATCTAGAGGCAAAGCCAGCTATTTACCCTGTTCCTGTTATTATTTCTATCTGGAAGATATTTCTGTCTGTAAACCTCTAACCTCTTGTTGTTTAGTTGCTAAGTTATGTCTGACTCTTTGTGACCCTGTGGACTGAAGCACACTAGGCTTCCCTGTCCTTCACCATCTCCCAGAGTTTGCCCAAACTCATGTCCATTGAGTTGGTGATGCCACCCAACCATCTCATCCTCATCATCCCCTTCTCCTCCTACCTTCAAGCTTTTCTAACATCAGGGTCTTTTCCAATGAGTTGGCTCTTCGCATCAGATGGTCAGAATATTGGAACTTCATCTTCAAATGTCTGACCTGAAACCCATCTATCTCCTGCCTCAAGTGTAGCTGACTGGTCCATGGCTGGACTGAAACTTCAGGAAAGACCCTGGGCCAGAGGCACCAGTCTGAGGCTCATGTGAATTCCTGAGCCAAGAAATGGTGAGGAGATTTCAGGGCTAAAATTTGGAGTAATTTGTTATGTAAAAATAGATAACCATTATACCATGTCACTATGCATGACAAAGGGGGCATTTTAGGACCTCAAGGATTAGAAACGAGATGGACAATCCAAATTTGTTTATCCCATCTGTAGATACCTTCTTGTGGATAGTCCTTTGTCTTATAGCTACTAAGTCCAAGCTTGCTGTGCTCACTACACGACAGACCAATAATTTGGGAGATGAGGTGTTGAGGCAAGTGAGAAAGTTAAAGCTTAGGCAGGTTGATAGATAGTCCAAGGCCCCTTAAGGAGGAGGAGGCAAACATTCTTTTTTTTTTCACATTGTTTTGCCTTAGTCACATGGGCCCTCTAAGCAACAATACATCTTGCTCAAGGACATACTTTTCTTAAAGCTCTGCATTGCAACAACATATCTTGTCTGAAAATTGTTTTTTTTCTTTAAGGCCAGAGTTAATGATATATCACAATATATCTTACTCCTGGAAAATGCTTTTCTTAGGCTCCACATTAATGATTATAATTGTAACAAATCTTGCCTTGGAGTCTGTTTTCGTATATCACTGCTTTCTCACTTGAAGACACGGTGCCCAGGAGCCCATTCTCCTTGGCTAATCTTATGCTGATATTATCTAAGATATATGTTGTGGGAAAGAGGTCTAGCAAAAGTTTTGCAACCTTGAAGTATTTTTTATCTATTCTTAGTAGCCAACTGAAAAATGTATAAAGCTCTGCTTAACCTCAAAAAGAGGGGTACTCTTTCTACCTCTTTCTGATGTCTATGTCAAAAGCTTTCTCTACCCTTTCACTTTAATGAAATATATGCTGCACGAAGCTCTGAGTGACTGAGACTGTGTCTTTGGTCCCAGAATGAAATTTTCTCCTTTAGAGACCACAAGCTTGGCACCGTTCACCGTAAGCTATCACAAAGAACAGTGACTTTATCAAAGAGTTAGCCATCCAAGAAGATGGTGAACTAGAGTTCTAGAGTACCATCTTATGGGGGTCTGGATGCTAATTTCTTTTATAGAACAGAGAAGGGGAGAAGGTGAAGAAGTGAAATAAAAAGGCCTTAAGTCTTGCAAAACATCTCCTGGTTTCACAGTCTTGGAGAGGAGTTGTGTTAATTTCTTCTTTCCTGCAATCATTCAGAGTTGGGCAAGTCTGGGTATCTCCTTGTGAGCTGAACAAAGGCAGTTTGGTTTAACATTCAGGTAGAGGGGCACGGTCCCCAAGGCAGGCCATTATGTATGCTTATAGCTATAGATGAACTTGCCAGGCGGCTCTGCAGTAAAGAATCTGCGTGCAATGCAGGAGACTCAGGTTCAATCCCTGGGTCAGCAAGATCCCCTGGAGAAGGAAATGGCAACCCACCCCAGTATTCTTGCCTGGAAAGTGCCATGAACAGAAGAGCCTGGTGGGATAGAGTCCATGGGGTCACAAAGAGTTGGACACAACTTAGAGACTAAACAACGACAACATAGCTATAGACAGAACAAAAGCAATGAACAGCAAAGGTCAGAGGAAAAGAAACAGATCCAACATGGAGTCAGCTTTTTTCTGTTATATTATCACTGCACCATTGAGAGGGGAGAATATTCCTTCCCCACCCCACCTCCACCCCAATATGGAATCTCAAGGGAAGGGTGGGAGGGAGTGATACTGAGCAGGACCTTGAGAAGTTCCTGAGTACAAAAGCCTTTCTGTGTCCCCTGTTTCTTGATTACAGAAAATAGGCTTCATTCAGCCTCCATGACCTTCCCTGAGTTCCAGCAATTGCTGATTAGGGAAGGGAGGTGATGCTGAGACAAGGGAGAAATAGTTGAGAGGCAATAGTACAGCCTTGGAGCAGGGTCCTGGTTCCCCATCAAGGGACATATAAAACAATATCTTTGAGCTGTTCTGCAGATACTGAAACTCTTGCCAGGTGGGAGAAATTAGTAGTATGTTGCCCATAAGCACATAGACCCCAGTATAGTTGGAACCAGAGGTTGATTCACCACCAACCAATGAGAAGAACATCCACAAGCTGGCCATGTCCTTTTTGAACCATTACTCTAAAACTTCTCACTACCCTCTCCAAGTTGGGACACACAGTCTTGAAGGCATTAGCCTATTGTGGCCCCCTTTGCCTGGCAAATCAATAAAGCTATTCTTTTCTACTTCATCCAAAATCTGTCTCCAAAAATTAATTTAGTGTGGGGGTAGAGAGGCTGGAATCAGCTTCAGGAGGGAGCAGATCACCAGATTTTGATCAAAGCACATTTCACCTATAGGAGCAGGTCTGCAGTGTCCAAGGGCAAAGGAGAAAGGAGGGTCCCACAGGACCTCAGGGAACCCTGCCCCTCTGCCTGAATGTTAAACCTAACTGCCTTTGTTCATTCCACAGGGAGACACCCTGACCGACCCACCTCTGAATGGCTGCAGGAAAGAAGAAATTAACCTACCCCCTCCCCAAGACTGGTGAAACCAGGAGATATTTTACAGGACTTAGGGCTCTTTTACTTTACTTCCTCACCTCCTCCCCTTCTCTGTAGGCTGTCAGAGGCTTAACACACAGTGAATGGTCAGACCACATGTGAAAAATCTGACCTTCAGGCTGCAGCGACCTGTCTAGGAAATCAATCCATTTTCTGCAGTAGCCAACCAAGGAAGCCAGCCTATCTTAGGCCAACTTGCAGGAAGTCAGATTGCTGTTTCCAGTAGTCTGGGAAGTCAAACAGTAATTCCTGGAACAATAGCTTCAAATGATGAGGGTTTCCTTACCAAACCAGGTCTGTTTGCAGCAGATAAAGAGTTTATTCACAAAGCAGCCAAGAGTGGGGAAGAAAGAACAACTCTCAGATCCATCTCCCAGAATGTGAGGGAGTTGAGTTATCTATGGGATAAGCAGGGTGGTCTTAGAGTTGGGGAAAGGTGATGGAGACAGAGGTGACATTATGCTAAAACCTAAGCTGATTTTCTATTTTTAGCATATGTTACCACCTTTTTGCTCATTTCTGTTGCACATGAAGGCTCAGACTGCACTGAGAGAAGCTGCTCCAGAAGCCAGGATACTTGTGAACTTTTTTTGCTAGGAAAAACATGTGTGTGCATGCATGCTCAATCCTCCTCTCAGTGCAATCTGAGGCTTCATTTTGTTTCCACTATAAAGCTTTCCCACTCCTCTGCCTGCCCTTGAGTTTCTGCCAAAATGTAAGCAACGGTGGCTGACCCACTTGCTACAGCCAGCTGTAAATGAGTAACTTTGCTTGTCCTTGTGGATTAAGAATGCCTCCAGAAGGAACCAACCTTGCCCACACCTGAATTTCAGACTTCTGACATCCAGAACTGTGAGAGAACAACTTCTGTTGGTTTAAGCCACTCAGTTTGTGGTACCTTGTGTTGCAGTCCCCAGAAACGCATACACTTGATACTAAGCATCTTCCCTAGATGCCTCGCACCTAAGTTTTGGGGTCAGTCCTGAGGAGGTAAGTGAGAAGGCTTGGTTGAGGCTGTGTGCATGTGCACACATGTGTGAATGCATGTGTACACATGTGTGAATGCATGTGTACACATGTGTGAAATGTACTAAGTATTTAGGGGCAGATTTGACTATACAAGTTATGACACAAATGATAACATCAGATTTCATTTTTCTCAGACTCTATTGTTCACAACTGCATTTATACTGTGAAGGGATTTGATTCTTTTCTTTTCTTTAGTTCTGCTACTATTTGTACCCTTCATAAAATGAGGGGGAAAATCCAAAAATAAGAAAAGTATGATACCTAAACTGAGACCAATGTTTGTCTTTTAAATTTTCTCATAATCTTCAATTTTGATATTACACTTCTTTAAAATCAGAGTAAATTTGTAAGACATGGATTCCCACTTGTGCCATTATTATTTAACATAGTACTGAAAGTTCTAGACAGAGTAGTTAGGCAAGATATGGAAATAAAAGGCATCCAAGTCAGAAATGAAGAATCAAAATAATTTCGCTTCACAGATGATATGACCTTGTGTGTATTAGAAAAACCATAAATATACCACAAAACTATAACTAAGAATGAACTCAACAAAGTAGCAAGATAGCAAATCAACACAGAAAAATGATATATGTAAATTTACATACATGTAAATTAGCGGTGAATGAGTTGAAAAAGAAATTAACAATTCCATTTACAAGAAGAACAAAATACTTTGTAACTAAGGGATTGAAAAACTTGTACACAGAAAACTATAAAATATTGCTTAAAGAAATTAAAGAAAGACACAAATAAATGGAAAGATATCCTATGTTCATGGATTGAAAGACTTAATATTGTTAAGATGCAAGTACCACCCAAAGCAATCTATGGATTCATTACAATTTCTATCAAATTCCCAGTGACCTTTTTTTTTGCAAAGATAGGACTATTCACCCTAAAATTCATATGGAATTTCATGGAAACCTGAACAGCCAAAACTCATGGGAAAAAAGGACAAAGCTGGAGGACTCAGAGTTCCTGACTTCAAAACTTACAAGTCTACAATTATCAAAACAGTATGGTAATGTCATAAAGTCAGTCATATAGACCAATGGAATAGAAGAGAAAGCCCAGAAACAAGTCTTTGCGTATATGGTCAAACGATTTTTGACAAGAGCACCAAGATCAATAGGGAAAGAACAGCCATTTCAAAAAATGGTGCTAGGAAACCTGGATATCCACATGCAAAAGGATGCTTATCTAACATCATATACAGAAATTGTCAAAAAAAAATCAAAGAACTAAATGTAAGAATTGACTGAAAGTGTCTTAGAGCTGAGAGCTTCTCTATAGACCTAGAGGTAAAGAAAAATTAGAGGGAAAAGTTGCTGGCAGTTTTGAACACCTGCTTTGGGACACATAGTTTGTAAAAATGGTTTCACTTAACCCTCCTAAAATTGCTGTAAAGTCATTAGCTTAGGTCAAAGAAGAAAATAAAATTATCCATAATCCTGCAATCTAGAGATGACCACTATTGTGAAGCTCTATATTTTTTTAAAAAATGTTTCTCATTATTAAATGTCTCTTTAAGACAATACAGCAATGGAGCTCACTGCATTCAGAGAAACTAAATTAAAAATGGTATCACTCAGCTGCTTTCCTCTAGGGGGACTGGGAAACACCATCACAGCAAGTGATGGGAAGCAGGTGGTACGATTGAATTTATAAGAAAAGGACCAGCTAAGGGACACCATTCCAAACAACCAACCTGGATTTAAGCCACAGCCTCAGTTAATCCCCATCATTCATTTGTTCAATGTTATATTTATTAAGTGAACTACTATGTGCCAGAGGCCACGCAAGATTCTGGAAATACAAAAGAATAAGAACTGACCTTACCTCTCTAAGTTCTCCTAATCTAATGGGGAGGGGTGACAAGTGAATAAAGAATGACAGCAATGTAACTGGGGGCTCTGGGGCCCAAGGACCGGAGAGACCCCTCTTCACACAGGACGGGGAAGACCTCCCGGAGGAGGTGACAGCTCTGAGCGGCTCAGGACTTCAGATATAAACTCTTGTTCTGAGTGCAGTATAGGAAAGATGGATGCAGACAGCAGCAGAAAGTTCTGGCCCCAAACAAAAGGCCAATTCCTGGACCAACTCCTTTAATGATCATGCACATAAGCAAAATCCAGAAGTACTGCAGTTCCTTTGGGATTTACCCCTTGAAAAGGGGGAATTCATAGAGAGCTTGCTGTGCCTGAGTTAGCCGATAGATCTTCTCCTTCAGGAATTTCCTCTTGGTAGCTGTATCATTCTGTTCTTGAAGCAGCCAGGAATAGTGCTGTGTGTCCTGTAGTAGCTGCATCATGGTTTTCTGCACCTTGTCACCATTCTCTTGGAGCATAAAGTACTGAATGATGAATGGGATCTGATTGGCGAGACGTTTGCTGGTTTCCTGGAAGAGGGGGTAAGAGGGGTCAGCTGGAGGGGTCTATGGTTGCAGAGAGAAGTTCCTTGGATGCATGCTAAGTCCTGGGATCCTGTCCATCTCCACTCCAGTGGTCAGTACCAACCAAGGGAAGGATCTCTTTGGGTCGCCCCATTTTCACGACCCAGGTATTCTCTCTGACACTAAGATCCACCTGAAGGCTAGCAGACCCAGCCACGTTCTAGACATCCCAGCCTTCCTGGAAGGGAGCTCCTCCTCACCCCCACTCTCCTCCCTGGAGAGACCTCCTGGCAGTGAACCCCAGGTTCCTTCTGGGAGATGATCTGGACATATTTCAATGCTTATTTCATTCACTCCTTTCATCAGCATCTCCGGTTTGCCTGACAGCTGGACCCCACATCTGGGTCACTCTACTTTCTATCCTAATCAAGAAAGGGCTTCAGGAGTTGGGCAGTTTAAAAGCTACCTTCTGGGACTTCCTTAGTAGTCCAGTGGCTAAGACGCTGCACTCCCAATGCAGGGGACCTGGGTTCGATCCCTGGTCAGGGAACTAGATCGCATATGTCACAACTAAGATTCCATGCAACCAAATAAATGAATAAAAACTTAACTAAAATAAAAAGCTACCTTCTTTTCCATGCACCCTAATACTTTAATCTATGGATGAAGCCTTAGAAACCATGAAGTCAGCTGGGCTGCAAAATTTAGGGACAGGCTTTTTCACTTCTACTTTGTAGGACTTAGTTTGAGTTTGAGGCACTCTGGGTACCCTCTGAACATGTAAGAAAGCTAAAACATAGCCAGTAAAGTTAGTGCTTATGTTTTGCTGTATTCTGATCATAGTAATTTTGGAATTTATGCAGAGAATAAAACATAATGAACTTTGAAGTTGGAATTAATTTTGAACACATGTTCTGCTAAGATGAAAAATCTGATTTGGGGAAAATTAATTAACAGTGTCTTGATAGGGTTACTGTCCCTGGTGGCTCAGATGGTAAAGAATCTGCCTGCAATGCAGGAGACCAGGGTTCAATCCCTGGGTGGGGAAGATCTCCTGGAGATGGGAATGGCTACCCACTCCAGTATTCTTGCCTGGAGAATTCCATGGACAGAGGAACCTGGCAGGCTATAGTCCATGGGGTCTAAAAGAGTCAGACTTGACTGAGCAACTAACTCTTTCCCTTTCAGTGTTACTGTAAAACTATGATGAGATGCTATATGAATAGGTTTTCACAGCCTAAAGGGCTTTGTACACAGAGATGCCCTGTTCTTTGCTCAGCAAAGCAGCTGTCAACCAGGACATCCCGCTTTCTGCTCAGTAGGGACCACAGCACTCTGACCTGTATCCCTACATGCTCACCATGAAATATGCATTCAGGTGGACCCCAATCTCAACAATGGAGGAAACCGAAGATTGATCATTCAAAAGGGGCTGCTTCAACTGAAGATTCTCTGAAGGCTTCCCCATGGAATTAAAAATATCTTCTCGGACTGCGTTCAGAACCACGCCGTAAATCTGGTCTTGACAAAAAACCAGCTTCTCCATCTTGAACTGAAGATGGATCAGATTTGCTGCTTCTGCCATTTGTTTTGTTTTTATGTCTTCGATCTTGTTCTGGTCAAATAAGGAAGATAAATATATTACTTTCCCTTTTCTTCCCCTGCTGTTTAAACAGCTTAGGAAGTATTATTACTATTACTATAGTACCATATTATGATGTTGAACGCTGAATTAAAAATAATCCGAGGTCAAGGAAGGTCTGAGACTTTTCAGGAGCAATTTTCAGAAGCTCCCAGTTTGCCCTCTGCTGTGTCCTCACCTGTTGCATCTTGTGGCTCCCCACCTTGCACATGCCATGCTCACCGTCCCTCCTGCCTGTTGTGTGTTTGTCAGTATATATGCTGCCGAAGCGAGCACCTGTCTGTTCTTTCTCTTGGCCCCAGCCTATTTCCTCGAACATTACTGTCTTTTGGCTTCCTCAGTTACGGTTTAGTCTACATGTTCAAGCCCATCACTCTTGTCTCTGTTGTTGGCTTGAATCCAAGCATTCAAGAATGCATCCGGTGCTAAAGAGCACCATGGGATAACAGCTCCATCTCTGTGCTTCCCAGAAATCCTGCAACTCCCGAGTCATGCACATGGGCAAAGGCATCCCAGGAAAGGGAGATGTGACTCAGTGGGACTGAGTCACAGGTTGACTTTTGAGTTTCAAAGGGATTTTTGTGCACTGAAGGCAGAGACAGTGGTTTGCGAGAAAAGAGTCACAAGGGCAGGTTCTTCGTTGAAGTGTATGTGGCCACAAACACGTATGTGACAACCCACTCCCCTTGCAGATTGGGGGCCTGAGAGCAGAAATGGACTGTGAGTCACTTCCCAAGAGGAGTTTTATGGGAGGACACAAGATCCTGGCTTCTGATGCAACTCAGGAGAAGAGGGTACAGATGGTGGAGGGAAGTGGCTGGGTGGGAGCCAGGTAGCTGCACCTAGATCTCTGTTCATCCCAGGATGCTACAGGGGACAAAGGCCCTTGAACTTTCCTGGCCCCAGACAGCCTGTGCTTGCAGCAGGTAAGAATACTGGAGTGGGTTGCCATTTCCTTCTCCAGGGATCTTCCCGGACAGGGATCAAACCCACGTACTGGCAAGCAGACTATAAGCAAGCAAACTGTGGGTGCTTACCTGGACGGTGTGATGCAGATTGCAAAATTCAGCAAAATGCTTTTTGACTGTGTCCTTGAAAGTTTGCCAGATAATTTCTGATCAAGGAAAGAACGAAACATCAGCAAAATGCAAGCAGGAATGAAATGGGTTAAAGACACAGGAGGATAAATCATGATACACTGGCCCCATTCTGGCACTGAGTTCTTCAGACCTACAGACCAAGGGAGAAGGAGGTATGGCACATAATCCCATGAAGAAACCAAATCCACCCCCATCCTGAGCAGATCCTGTCAACTTCTGGTCATTTCCTGGGTGTGCACTCTCGGCAGGATTGTTGCCGTTGTTTAGTCGCTCAGTCGTGTCCAACTCCTTTGCAGCCCCATGGATGGTAGCCTTCCACGCTCTTCTGTCCATGAGATGCTCCAGCCAAGAATACTGGAGTGTGTTGTCATGTCCTCCTCTAGGGGATCTTCTTGACCCAGGGATCAAACCCACACCACCTGTGTCTCCTGCATTGGCAAGCTTATTCTTTACCACTTGTGCCACCTGGGAGCCCCTCTCTGCAGGGTTAGCAGCTATTCCGCACACCGTGCCATCCAGGCTTAGGTAAGAGGTATAGAAAGCTCATACACACTCTCAGTTCAGTTCAGCTCAGCCACTCAGTCATGTCTAAGTCTTTTCAACCCCATGGACTGCAGCACACCAGGCATCCCTGTCCATCACCAACTCCCAGAGTCTGCTCAAACTCATGTCCATTGAGTCAGTGATGCCATCCAACCATCTTATCCTCTGTCGTCCCCTTCTTCTCCTGCCTTCAATCTTTCCCAGCATCAGGGTCTTTTCAAATGAGTCCATTCTTTGCATCAGGTGGCCAAAGTATTGGAGTTTCAGCTTCAGCATCAGTCCTTCCAATGAATATTCAGGACTGATTTCCTTTAGGATTGACTGGTTGAATCTCCTTGCAGTCCAAGGGACTCTCAAGAGTCTTCTCCAACACCACAGTTCAAAAGCTTCAATTCTTCGGCACTCAGCTTTCTTTATAGTCCAACTCTCACATCCACACATGACTACTGGAAAAACCATAGCTTTGACTAGACAGACTTTTGTTAGTAATGTCTCTGCTTTTTATATGCTGTCTAGGTTGGTCATAACTTTTCTTCCAAGGAGCAAGCATCTTTTAATTTCATGGTTGCAGTCACCATCTGCAGTGATTTTGGAGCCCTCCAAAATAAAGTCTGTCACTGTTTCCATTGTTTCCCCATCTATTTGCCATAAAATGATGGGACCGGATGCCATGATCTTAATTTTTGAGTGTTGCTTTTTAAGGCAACTTTTTCACTCTCCTCTTTCACTTTCATCAAGAGGCTTTTTAGTTCTTCTTCACTTTCTGCCATAAAAGTGGTGTCATCTGTGTATGTGAAGTTATTGATATTTCTCCCAGCAATCTTGACTCCAGCTTGTGCTTCATCCAGCCTGGCATTTCTCATGGTATACTCTGCATATAAGTTAAATAAAAAGGGTGACAACATACAGTCTTGACCACACTCTCCCCTTCCTCCTAAGTGGACAAACATCTGCAGGCTGTGTTTGATAATTCCATTCCAATCTCTTCCTCCAAGCACTGAGACCTATGGGAGTATAAGGATAACAATCTGAAAGTTTTTTTATGAGAGTTCCTCACCCATGACCTTCTGGAGCATCTTGAGTGCTGGGTCTATCAGTTGCCCCAGGTAGTGCTTCACGACAGTCTCAAACGTCTTGTAATTGACAAATCCAAGAAGTTCTTTGCCTCGATACTTCTTTTCATATTTTGAGACTTCCTCGTTAAGGATACTTTTAACTGCAACAAAAAACAAACCACCAGGAAAAACTCTAATAATTTCACAGACAGTTAAAAGATAGGGATTTTTTTCAGGTCTTGTTTACCCAACCAATCCTATGGCAATGTTTCTAAATAGTTTCTTTTAATCATGAAAATAATTATTTGTGGCCTGATAATGCCGGTTTGAGAAATATTGACAGTTAAGAAACAAAAATCTTTTTCTATTCCAATGTGTTTCAGTTGAGAGTCATCATGCCAGGAGAGAAGCTAAGTGTTTATAATTGGTAGGGGAAAAAAATCTGATTAATTAAATGAAAATAGAAACAAAAAATTCTTGCGGCCCTTACAGGTCTTCTTCCAAGACTACCTATAGCTGGAGGGCTGTTACCATGGAAGGAATAGTGCTGCTTCTATTAAGTGTCAAAACAGAGCTTCCTCGGCGGAGCAGTGGTTAAGAACCCACCTTGCAATGCACAGGAGACTAGTACGATCCCTGGTCCAGGTGGATCCCACATGCTGCAAGGTGACTAAGCCCACACACCACAACCGCTGAGCCCACGCCCTGGGGCCCACGAGTCACAGCTGCTGAGCCACACGCAGCAGTTACTGAGGTCCGAGTGTCCTAGAGCCTGTGCTCCGCAACAAAAGAAGCCCCTACTCTCTGCAGCTAGAGAAAGCTTGTGTGCAGCGATGAAGACCCCGTGCTGCCAAAAGTAAATAAATAAATAAAAATATATATTTTAAAGTGTCAAAGCAAAGGTACACACACATACAACACACTACACCACACAGGCACACACCCTATTGGCCTTTGGGCTGGAGCAGATAGAAGTTGGAACTCTGCCAGAGGAAGTAAGGAGTTTGTTGTCAAAGCACAGACCTTTCTGATCCTGGACTGGGGGTAAAGAGGAGGAAAGAGACAGGGTAAGTGAAACTGCCGAGCCTCAAAACACAGAAGCAAGGAGACAGTTGGTGGGATGGTCTACTATTGAATTGGCGAAGGCCATGCTCCACAAAAATGGCTGGGAAGCTGTTACAGATACTAAGAGGTCCCTAGTGTGGGCACAGTCGGTTTGCACAATTTTTATGTGCCAGAAGTAGCTTCTGGTCTTGGTAAATGTGATGCTGCTTTTGGGGCAGCCCTGTCCCAGGACTTACCTTTTTCGATATTGGCGCAAAGTATGAGTATCCAGCTTGTAAACTCCTCTCTGATTTTGTTACATAAGCGGGACTCTGTCTCCATTACAATTTCTTCTCCTTCTATTAACTTTTGAATGTCCTCGTTAAATACCTTAATTTTCTGAAAAGATGAGATAAAATCATCAATCTGTGCTGTAATTATATTAAAGAGCAGGGATCTGGATCAGCCGTGCATGGTGGTGTGGGGGCTGGGGCTCTAAGGGGGTCAGATGACCCACCAGCCACCTCATACACCCCACCACCCCCCACCACCTCGTGAGAAACGAGGAGGGCAGGGAGTCCTGAGTAATCCTCACCTCGATGAGGAAGAACATTTTATCCCCTTCATTGCTGGGAATGTCGTCCCCATACTGGTGCAGCTCCTCTGTCGCCCTCTGGTACTTTTCCTTTATTTGATTTTCTAACAAGGGGAGCGATTTCTGAACAAAATAAGAGCAAGCGATGAAAGGCTACAACTTGATGAACTTTTTTTGTTTTTAAGTCGCTAAGTCCTATCTGACTCTGTTCTGACCCCAGGGACTGTAGCCCGCCAGGCTTCTGCCTAAGGGATTTCCCAGGCAAGAATACTGGAGTGTATTGCCATTTCCTTCTCCAGGGGATCTTCCCTGAACAAAATAAGAGCAAACAACGAAACGCTGCAGTTTGCTGAAATTAGCTGACAGGTATCTTAGGTGTATGGGCAGAGTCCTGTTTGAAAGCATTCAGTTTCTATTATCGTGTGACTCTTGTTGAGAGCGACTCCTGCCAAGACCTCAAGGAGGACTTGGGATGCAACGTTATGCATGATACAGCTTGGACAATCTGGTGTTGAGAATTCTGCAGTTCTGTCACGTGACCAGAGTGGGGAGGGAATCCGGTGGTGGCCAGTTTTGGGTTTTTTGTTTGTTTGACTCAGAGCTTTTATTGAGATAACAAGTACCTTTGAATATAATGGAAGGTTTCTTTAGTGAAATGTCCCCTATAACATTTGAGTGTTATAAACTGATAAATGCTGCTTAGGAGATCAGTCCTGGGTGTTCATTGGAAGGACTGATGCTGAAGCTGAAACTCCGATACTTTGGCCACCTGATGCAAAGAGTTGACTCATTGGAAAAGACCCTGATGCTGGGAGGGACTGGGAGAATGCCTGGAGAATCCCATGGATAGAGGAACCTGCTGGGCTACAGTCCATAGGGTTGCAAAGAGTCGGACACGACTGAAGTGATTTAGTACTAGCAGCATAGTTTTTAGACAGGGCTATTTAATTTAGAATTCTCTGCTGCAAATTGAAGGGATTCCACCAGAATCAATACTTCTCCAAGTATATTCCCAAGATCACCTTAGAAAAACAAATTCATGGGCCCCACCCCAGACCTACTGACTCAGAAGCTCAGCCGGGGCCCAGGAATATGAATTTAAGCAAATTTTCTAGGTAACATTTTTGCCTAACTGTGTGTTAGGCAAGAATACTCCAGGCAAGAATACTGGAGTGGGTTGATGTGCCCTCCTCCAGGCAATCTTCCCAACCCAGGGATCTAACCCACGTTTCTTACACCTGTCTCCGGCATTGGCAAGCAGGTTCTTTACCACAAGCATCACATACAGTTTTAGAAGTGTTGCCCCTAACAAACAAATATTTTGAGTATGTGTTTTCTGGTTCAAAAGAATTCATTGTTTCATGCAACATGCAATTTAGCATGGACTGGGATCCAGCCCCTACGTTCTACCTCTGTACTCAAGGTTCATCTTCTCATGGACAATGGTTCAGGCAAGCGTGACAAATACTCCATTTATCATTTGGCTTTCTCTCTGTTGTTCTGACTGAGTGATTTCCATTATTCTACCTTTCAGATCACTTGTTTATACTTCTTCATTATTCATTCTGCTATTTATTGTCTTTAGATCAGCTTTCATCTTGGCAAATGAATTTCTTTTTTGCTCCTCTTTATAGTTTTTAATTCCTTTTTTTACAGTAACCTGCATTTCTGTCCATAGCCTTTCTTAATTCCTCCAGTGTTTTCATTATCTCCCTTTTGAACTCAGCATCTATCAGACTGAAGAAGTCTGTTTCATTGTTCTTTCAGGGGCATTATCTTGGCCTTTTCATTGAGAGTTGCTCTTCTGCATCTTCATTTTACTTCTATTTCTCTTACTCAAGAGAGTTTAGGAGAAATGATTATCTACTGTGGTCTCAGAGGGCTATTTTGATGTGAAAGGGTACTTGTGTAGCTTGTGTGGGTTTAATATTTTTAATGGGAGGACTATTTTTAATATGGACACCTGCCACCTCTTTCCTCCTCATGTTCTGGCCATTATCCTCTTGATTTGTTGTTGTTCAGTCTATAAGTTGCGTCTGACTCTTTGCAACTGCCCAGACTGCAGCATGCCAGGCCTCCCTGTCCTTCACCATCTCCCAGAGTTTGCTCAAACTCGTGTCCATTGAGTCAGTGATGCTATCCAACCATCTCATCCTCTGTCGCCCCCTTCTCTTCTTGCCTTCAATCTTTGCCAGCATCAGGGTCTTTTCCAATGAGTCGGCCCTTCACATCAGATGGCCAAAGTATTGGAGCTTCAGCTTCAGCCTCAGTCCTTCCAATGAATATTCAGGTTTGATTTCCTTTAGGATTGACTGATTTGACCTCCGTGCTGTTTCATGGATTCTCAAGAGTCTTCTCCAGCACCACAATTTGAAAGCATCAATTCTTTGGTGCTCAGCCTTCTTTATGGTCCAACTCTTATGTCATCCTCTTGATGGGGGTGTACAGATGCAGTGGCTGGTGCCCAGTCCTGGAGCCCACAATGGCGATGGTGATGGCTATAAATATACTATTTCTCAATAAGCACCAAGCCAGAGTCCCCCTTCAAAAACATCATGAGAACGTTGTCTGTGGTTTTCTTATTTTGAGAATCACTGAAAACCAAACATTTATTTCCTACAAGTTTGAAGCTGGGAAAATGTTTTATATTTATATTTTTAATTTATTGTTTAAAAACTTGTTGAGGTGAACCATTCTTAAAGTCTTTATTGAATTTGTTACAAGATTGCTTCTGTATTATGTTTTGGATTTTTGGCCTTGAAGCACTTGGGACCTCAGTTCCCTGACCAGGGATCCAACCTGCACCCCTGCATTGGAAGGTGAAGTCTTAACCAGTGTTCCATCAGGAAGTCTCAAAGGAAAGTGATTTTTATACTGTGAATTGTTAACAAACTATTAAAAATTTGCTAACTCGATATTCACTCCTTTTTACACTGCTAACCTGGTGTTAGCATTTTCCTTTTCTCTTTGCTGGCCCCAGATTGACAGAGTCAACTCTTTATTTCAACACTATGCAGTTACTGCTTTTCTGTTTCAGAAGCTCTTTTGTGAGCCTCTGACCAGGAGTGATTTGGTTTTCAGAATGTTCTTTTTTTTTTTTTTCAGAATGTTCTTATTTGTCTGCTAGTTTGGACATTTCACTGGAGTGTCCTAGTCAACCCATGACTAAGAAAGTGACCTGGACAGGCTATCATTTTTTTTTTTTTAAGATTTGTTTTTTGATGTGGATCATTTTTAAAGTCTTTATTGAATTCATTATAATATTGCTTCTCTTTTATGTTTTGGTTTATTGGGCACAAGGCATGTGGGATCTTAGCTAGAGATTGAACCTGTATCGCCTGCATTGGAAGGTTGAGTCTTAACCACTGGACCACCAGGTAAGTACCCAAGGCTGTCATTTTTTTTTATAGCTTGCAACTTAAACTACTGACTCACATTGATGTGCCAGATGAGCTCGGTGGTAAGTCTTTCTGCCAGAAGAGGCACCGTGGCCTTTCCTTCATCCAGAAGAACTCTGAAATAAGACAGAGCATGATGAATTTAAGAAGGGCCCATAGGATCACTTTCCAGTATTGTACCTTATAAGTGGGTAGATGAGCTCAGTTCCTTGGAGTGACGCACACCATCAGAAAAGCCAGGTGGTACATGAGGACAGTTGATAATTAAGGAGCAAGATCATATCTAGGCAGGTATAGTACTAGAGAGGTTATTTTTTTTTTTTCTTTTTGTGTCCCAATGAACTCAGGTGGTAAGTCATTTTTTCAGGAAAAGCAAAACAATACAATTTCATAGAGGCTAAGTGACTTTCCCAAAGTAGTATTTTATTTCTTATAGCAAATATTTATCCCTAATTAGATGTATCAGTCTTGATAAAGAAGAAGAGAGCTAGACATCATATTTCTGATTTCAACTATATTGCAAAGCTACTGTAATTAAAGCAGTATGGTGTTAGAATAAAGACAGACATAGTCCAGTATTCTTGTCTGGAAAATTCCATGGACAGAGGAGCCTGGCAGGCTACAGCCCATGAGGTTGCAAAGAGTCAGACATGACTTAGAGACTAAAGAGCAACAACATAGATCTGTGCGACAGAATAGCAAGCCCAGAAATAAATCTATGCATATACAGTTAACTGATTTTTGCAAAAGTGCCAAGAATACACAATAGGAAAAGGATAAACTCTTCCACAAAAGGTGTTGGGAAAATTAGATATCCACAGCAAAATGGATCCTTTTTTCACACTAGACACAAAAGTCAACTGAAAATTGATTAAACGCTTAATGTAAAACCCAAAACTGTAAAACTCCTAGAAGAAAACATGGGGGACATCTTCATCATATTGATCTTGGAAATGATTTCATGAATATGACACTAAAAGCACAAGCAACAAAAGCAAAAATAGACTAGTAGGACGATGTCAAACTAAAAACTTCAGCACTGCAAGTAAACAATCAACAAAGGAAAAGGCAACCTACAAAATGGGAGAAAATATTTGCAAACCATGTATCTGATAAAGGGTTAATTTCCAAAATATGGAAGGATCTCCACAATTCAATAGCAAAGAAACCCTAATAACTCAATTTAAAAATGGGCGAAAAGACTCAGAGATTTCCTCAAAGAAAACATACAAATGGCCAAAAGGCACATGGAAAGATGGTCAGCATCACTAATTATCTGGGAAATGCAAATCAAAACCACAATTAAATATCACATCATATCAGTTAGGACGATATTATTTTTAAAAAAAGACAAGTGTTGGCAAGGATGTGGAGAAATTGAAACACTAGTATACTGTTAATGGGAACTCAAAATGATGCAGCCTCTATAGAAAGCAGTAATAAATACCTTAAAAAATTAAAAATGGAACTACCATATGATCTAGCAATCCCACTTCTGGGCATTTATTCAAAAGAATTGAAATCAAGATCACAAAGACTTATTAGGGCGCCTATGTTCACTGTAGCACCTTNCAAAATGTCCAATTATCAACAGATAAATGGATAGAGAAAATGCATAATATATATATGCACATATATGTCTGTATTTATGTGTGTTCAGCCATAAATATGAAGGAAATCTGACATTTGCAACAATATGGATGGACCTTGAAAGCATTTTGCTAAGTTAAAGAAATCAGACAGTTAAAGACAAATATAGGATCTCACTTAAATGTGGAATTTAAAAAGGCAAACTCATAGAAACAGATAATAGAATAGTGGTTTCCAAGGGTCAGGGGTTGGGGGAAATGGATAGGTGGTAGTCACTAGGTACTCTATTGTGTATTAACATATGATATGATAATCTTCAAACTTTGTGTCCACTCCTAAGTGTCTATTCACATGCCTCTAACCCAGAACATCTCGTCCTCAAACCTTCTAATACTTCTTATAGGATCTTAATTATCGTAATCATTCCATTATATTCTAACCTTGAACCATTTTCCTTCCACACAAAGCTAATGGCCAGATGCGTCAACAACAGCTCTGCTCATCTGAGGATTTCTCCTCACCACTCACACTTGAATTTACACCTGAGAGAGGCTTTAATGAGGTCTTCATTCATTTTCGGTTTGCGCGCCTGAACTGACCCATTGGTGAACCAAGCTCAGATTTTTCTCTGCCTCTGTGAGATTGTGGTCAAGAATCACTCATATGGTAATAGGAGCTGAGGGAGAAACATTGGTGGAACTGTGGCGAATAACATGGACTTCTGAGTATCTTGGGCTTCCCTGCTGGCTCAGGCAGTAAAGAATCCACTGGCAACGCAGGAGACCCAGGTTTGATCCCTGTATTGGAAAGAACAATTGAAGAAGGGAATGGCTACCAACTCCAGTATTCTTGCCTAAAGAAAGAACCCCATGGACAGAGAAGCCTTGCGGGCTGCAATTCATGGAGTCTCGAAGAGTTGGACACAACTAAGGGACTAACACATTGGGTATCTGCTCATTCAACTTGCTTCTTTGTACTCACATTTGATCCCAGAAATATCATTTCCATCATAAAATGGGTTTCTGCTTGCCCACTCAACATTATTACTTGGTGGGTCTAAAAAATCAAATTTCTGATAAGTTATGCCTGCACAGTTATTTGGTATCCCATGATCAGTTACTCTGTCTCTACTCTGCTCTTCAGGAACATACCAGAAGCTGTTTATTAAAAGGCTTATAACACTACACAGTATATGACATGGTTTTGCTCCAAAACCATAC